AGGCCCCGCACATGCAACAGTGGTTCTTTCTGGTCTCCCTCTGCGGAAACTACGCCACGTATAACGTCGAGGGCGAAGTCCGCACTAGTAGTATCTTGAAGAAAAGAAAAAAGAAAAAAACAAAAAAAAAATTCTGGAATGTATGTGCAGGATGTATGTACAGGACATGTCCAAGTGGGTGGATGTCTCCCTATTTTCCGTCCCATGCTGTTGCTGGAGCTTTTCTCGTCCTTCCCGCGGATCCTCTAAAAGTTTCAACGAATCGCTGCGGGGGGATGGGGAAACTGTGGTCTTCCTTGATTATGCCTTGGATAATCATGGGTTGATGATAGGTCCTGCTCCGAGATGCCCAGGGATGGTGCCGAACATGTCTTGCCATTCCAGCTTGCCGCAGGGTCCTTCTCCATGTCTGACATCTGGTCTAAACCCCTGGATTTTTGGATTGTTGACATGACACCCGGGAGCACACCCCCCTGTTCGCTGCTGTATGCGGGACCTGTTCGAAGGCCACGCCGACTCCTCCCTTTTGCTTTCCGAAGGAAGACAAGGATTATTGCAATAGCTGGTATTGTAGCGAGCATACCGAGAAGAAGGAAGAGGACATTCTGCTGACGCTGCCGTTGTTTCGCACAATGCTTGCCGATGAGTTCTTCGCTTCGGGGATTGCACATGCTGCACATCTTCTTATCCTCCGTGGTCATCTGCCTGGAATTGGAACATGCATGCGGGACATCGAAGGGGCGGCAAACAGTCACCTCGCAACTTTGGCCCTGTGCATCCACGGCCGCAGCCCGTTTCTCAATGGCTGCCTCCCTACTATGCATGTCTGCATCTCGAGCGCTACCCGGCAGAACACATTTTGATGCATAGGGATTCTCGGGCGGGGCATTCACTTCTTTCTGCTGGGTATCTAACCATCGCAGAAGCGAGAAGATCGCTTCTCTGCACGACCGCAGCTTTGACCCGGCTATCGCCACGGGCTGCTCCGGATTCGAATTCGAAGAGAAGGGCAACAGGTCTGCGGCGCACGTTTCCAAATCGCCAAGCACACGCCGTAGCCCATGTCCCGACGGGATCCCCGGCCTCGTGATTTTGCCAAATTCCCCAGTTGCCGCTGCCTTTCCGCCGTGATGGGCTGTCGATATCGACGCCGGAACAGCAGGCGGCGCAAAGCGAGCTGGGTGGACGCAGTCATATTCGCCGCCCGTTGGCCCTGGCTCTTGTAGCTGTGGTGCCGAACGCCCTGAAATTACCCAGTGCTCTATCTGTCGTGGTGGCATGGCCGGATAGGATGCCAGACAGGTGCCTTGTTCCAGAATACACACCATCGCGATTCCGCATGCAATCCATGTTGACGACCCGCTTAAGGAACGAAGCATTGTTGTAAAGCGGAGTATGGCTTCTGCAGAAGGGGGATCGGGATGCCGAAAGTTATAATTTTTAGAGTGAAGGGGAAAAAAAGAAGATATCCAACCGTCAACGTAAAACGGTAAGCAACGGGGTAATGGATACACTTCTCTCGACACGGATTTAAAAAAGTCTCCCCGCTGGTTGAGGTTCTCTGTTTGGTGTTTCTTTCCCTACAGGGCTTGAGATATATACCTCTGGCAAGCGCTATCCGACAATTTCGCGATGTTGTTCCGGGAGGAAGGCGGTCGCGCTTTTGTCCCTGCTAGCCGTCTTTGTCGATATTTTGAAAAGAGCGCAATATTTATCTGGTGCGATTTTGGCGCTGTCGGTTCTCGATTGAATTTCTTCCTCAGAAAATGAGAATCCGACATCCAGTCGGTTTTGCTTTGCTCAGGCATATAGTTTCTGTTCTATCTCTTCTAAAGATATGTTCAAAATGTCCAATGGGCCTGATTTCCTCGTATGCTCAAGTCCTAAGTGGCTTCAGATTTCAAATCTCCAATGTTGTGTAGGATATCTCAGTTTGGGGGTATAGGATGTCTCAACACGTTGTTACAAAGTTCGTGACTATATCCTTCTGGCTGTTTTATCTCATTTAAGTTCCCCTGAAGCCCCCAGTGCCCTTTTTCTCATCCCTTCATCTAATTGAAGTTGCTGTATCTTCAATATATTTTCTTTCAAACCCCATCAGCCCTTAAAGAGGACAGGGGCTCCATTTCCAAACCATTTTTCAGCTATCACATCATTCTAAATTCGACATTATGTCAAACCATTCTATCGTGTTTGACGCCCAGCAAATGTGTTCGAGTCAATCCCCATCATCTTGTCGGGCCTGACTCGGGGGATTGAAGAACGCGAGATCATTGCGACTGACTCTCGGCAGCTATCCCACGCAGTATTCCACCCAAGCAGATTCGCATTCTAGGACCCCTGGCCCAATACGTGAGTTTCTTGGGCCAGTAGCTCGACTTTGCTTTTGCTTTTGAAGCGGAGATTGCAAGATTTACCAAAGATTTTTTTTTTTTTTTTTTTTTTTTTTTTTTTTTTTACTGCTACTACTACTGTTATTTCTCAAGATTTTTCGCATGTCTATTTCTTTCTCTATTTTCAACAGCGTAGGGAGCTATTGAATTGTCCTAACCACGTATGGAATTGGAGATACAATAATGCAATAGCGAAATGACAATATATTATTGGTTTATATCAATAAATAGGGTGCTGCTCTCTGCTGGTGATGTAGAGAAACATAACAAACTCCTCGGTTGATGCCTGAATAAAAACCGTAGCAAAAAAAGGAGCAAGAAGAAGACATAAAAAGAGAAAAAAGAGAAAGAAAAGAAAAAATTAGAAAAAAAAAAATTATAGGACCTAGCTTCAGAAAAGGAGAGAGCAGTATAACGCACTTTGTAATACGGCAAAAATATATTATATACATGTATTTATATGTATATTATATAACTGTGAGTTATCGAACATAAAACAAATTCGCTCCCGAGATGAAAAATAAGTACACAAAGTAAATAAATAAGATGAAAAAAAAGAAAGAGAGGGGAATACACATAGGGTGAAAACTTCTGATGTATTATATATGTGTATATTACTATAATTTCGAGAGGTTGACCCGGGAAGCGGAGTCGAGGGAGTTATAGAGTGAGATATCCGAGGGGAGGGGGGCGCGACTTTGCTTTAAGTTGGGGGAGGCACATACACTGACCAAGAGAGGTGAAAGAAAGGAATTGAGTTATATCGAGGGAGTAGTTAAGTACAGTCAGGTAGAAAGGTCGAGAGAGAGGATGGGACAGAACAGTCAGAAGGAATTAAAAAAAAAAAAAAAAAAAAAAAAAAAAAAAAAAAAAGAGGAGGGGAGGAAATATGCTCACATTGCTGTGAGGGCATGATAAGGAATTTCACTTCGGCCCAGTGCGTTGTCCTTGCCCGAGCCATTCGTATCAGTTTCATTTGATGTTTTGTCTGGCGTCTCTCATTCTGTCCCCC